ACACCTGGTGAATGGTTTCCTTATTTTAAAGAATGGTTTAAATATGCGTTGGACGAGAAGAAACTGAATTTGATCATACAGTTAGAACAGTTAAGACAAAGCCATTCTTGTGACACTTGTACCTCTGCTCCTGGACGAATGATCTGCTCAGTAAACTTATCACTGAGGAAGAAATAAAGGAACAAATTATAAATCTTAAGAAAGGAAAGTCCCTGGAGAAGACGGCATACCTGCAGAATTTTACAAGATTTCATCAGAAACCCTTATTCCATATTTAACCCTACTTTTAATAAAATATTTGATAGTGGTGTATTCCCTGAAGCATGGAATCAGGCTATTATTCTTCCCTTATATAAGACTGGATCAAGAAGCAACCCATCAAATTACATAGGTATTTCACTAATGGACAGTATTGGGAAACTTTTTACATCGATTCTAGAACAGCGTTTAAGGACATGGATAGATATAAATAACTTACTATCAGAAGCACATGCTGCATTCCGACCGAATTATGCTACAGTTGATAATATTTTTATTTTGCAGGCTTTATGTACCAAATATTTGTCTAAACCGAAAGGTCGTTTTTACTGTGCTTTTGTAGATTTCAAGAAAGCATTTGATTATGTGGACAGGGAAAAGTTATTGTACTTGTTATTAAGTAAAGGTTGCCATGGCAAAATGTTCCGGATTTGGGAAAATATGTATACATCTGTTAAAGCTTCTGTCAAGATTGGAACTTGCCAAACACAGTCATTTTCTACCTCCAATGGTATTCGTCAAGGCCGTATCCTCAGCCCCATTCTTTCATTTTCTTTATAAATGAATTAGTACATGAACTGTATGAAAAATGTTCCCAAGGTATATTTGTATCTCAGGATATAATTGATATTATGCTGCTTCTGTTTACCGATGATGTTGTTCTATTCTACTATACTGTTGTAAATTTGCAAAGGCTATTAAACGGGGGAAAAGTTGCCAAAAATGAACAATGGGCATTTGGTAGTGTAAAATTAAAAATTGTATCGTATTATAGATATTTAGGCATCATTTTCTCATCCAGGCTTATTTGGTCAACAGCGTGTCGTACTCATGCATTGCAGGCTTCTAAAGCTGTTTTCCCTGTATACAGACTGTTCCATAACAACAAGTTCTTGTCTTTTTCGACAGCATGTAATATCTTCGATGGTAAAATTGCACCTATTTTGTTGTATGCATTGGAAATATGGGGCCTTAAATATCATGACTGTATTGAAAAGGTGCAAACTTCCCATTTCAAACGTTTCTTGTGTGTTGGGAAATTCGCATCGAATAAGGCAATATTAGGCGAAATTGGTCGTACCAATATGTTTGTTTTAAGTAGACACAGAGCTGTTAAATATTGGATTAAATTGGTTAGAATGGCTGTAAACAGATATCCACATCAATGTTATAACATGTTGAAAGAACTGGATGACAGAGGTAAAAGGAACTGGGTTTCAGATATCCGTCTCGTATTCACACGTATGGTTATACCAAAATGTTGGAGATGAAAAATGTGTTCTTGTATGTGTTCAAGCAAAGATTAGTTGATATTTATGTCCAAAATTGGCAAGGAAATGTACAAGCTTCACATTTTTTAGATATTATAGTCTGGTAAAATTAGGTTTTACATTGAAGCGTATATTACATACCTGTTTCATGATAAGACGTTACTGAAGGTATTTTGTAAATTCCGAATTTCTCTACATAATTTGAATGTAAATGCAACCAGACGAAATAAGGATGTTGAAAGACAGCACACTTTATGTAACAATTGTAACAGCGGACAAGTCCAGGATGTATTTCATATTTTACATCCCAAATGATCAATGTATTTAATTCACAAAATAGACATACCGTTAAAGCAATAGCAACATTTCTGAAATGTGTATTCTCCAACAATGTTTGAAACAGTGTTTAAATATTGCTTTTCTATTTTCTTACGACGTGACAACAAAAGTGTTGTAACAACAATTGTAACATGGGCCAGTTGGCCAATATAACTGAATAAAATATGTCTGTCTGTCTGTTAAATGATTTCATACACGGACGGGACTGTTTGACTTCAGCTGGTCATGTGAATAGGGGCGTTGTGAACTACATCTGGAAGTGCAATAGTTAGGGGAGGGTAATTATTTTCAGTGCAGACCCGTGAAGATCCGGGTTCGAATTGGTTCAGCCGGGTTCAGCAAGTCATGCTTGTCGTTAGAGGCGACTATCGGATTCAGGTGGCCTGGCTCGCTGACTTTGTTGACACATGTCATTGCATCCCCCTTACGTAGATTGATTATATACAGACCGCAGCCACATAGCTGGGATATTGCTGAGTGCATACAAAATCCATGAAACCCCTCCTGTAATAAATGACCAGCCCCTAACGTGGATCCTGTAGTAATGTATATCTATCTTTCAGTTTGATATACGTGTGCCAGATAATAAGGGGTATTTAGCACGACCGTATTGGACCTTTGACGGTGTAAAAACATCGTTATCACATCACGTTACTCAACACCCCTCACCACAGTTGTGTGGAGCTACTGCACTGATCCAGGAGGAGCGATTCCCTCTCTGCCATCACTGAAACGTGAGTATCCGAGTTGTCAGCAACCAACTTTGACATTCTGCTCAACACAGCACTTTTACAACAAAGGGGGAGTTCTATTTTCCAATCGTGACTTTCCCCTTCATACGGAGCAATATACCATCAGCTTCTACGGCTGGTGTCGAGGTTTCCTAAATGACCGAGGTACATTGCAGTGGTACGTTTTAAAGATTCGTGGAAAGAAACACAAATGTATTTGGCTTACCAGTAACCTTTTCAATCAAGGTTTTATAAATCAAGGCCTGGTTCCAGACAATTTAAAGTGGACACGTAAAGATTCCTAAACTACCTATGTAACTGGGTGGGGCGTATGATTCTATTATGTCTGGCGTATTGTCCTGTGAGGGAGTTACCAGTGGGTTTTCTCTGTCCGGGCCACACCTGTCTACATGATGTACAATGACACCAAATGCTATGACCGTTACACGGGGTTTTCTCTGTCCGGGCCACACCTGTCTACATGATGTACAATGACACCAAATGCTATGACCGTTACACGGGGTTTTCTCTGTCCGGGGTAATGTCCGGGCCACACCTGTCTACATGATGTACAATGACACCAAATGCTATGACCGTTACACGGGGTTTTCTGTCCGGGCCACACCTGTCTACATGATGTACAATGACACCAAATGCTATGACCGTTACTACGGGTTTTTCTGTCCGGGGTAATGTCCGGGCCACACCTGTCTACATGATGTACAATGATACCAATGCTGCGACCGTTACACGGGTTTTTCTTTGTCCGGGCCACGCCTGTCTACATGATGTACAATGACACCAAATGCTTATGACCGTTACAAGGGTTTTCTTTGTCCGGGCCACACCTGTCTACATGATGTACAATGATACCAATGCTATGACCGTTACACGGGGTTTTCTTTGTCCGGGCCACACCTGTCTACATGATGTACAATGATACCAAATGCTATGACCGTTACACGGGGTTTTCTTTGTCCGGGCCACACCTGTCTACATGATGTACAATGACACCAAATGCTATGACCGTTACACGGGGTTTTCTCTGTCCGGGCCACACCTGTCAGCATGATGTACAATGATACCAAATGCTATGACCGTTACACGGGGTTATCTTTGTCCGGGCCACACCTGTCAGCATGATGTACAATGACACCAAATGCTATGACCGTTACACGGGGTTTTCTCTGTCCGGGGTAATGTCCGGGCCACACCTGTCTACATGATGTACAATGATACCAAATGCTATGACCGTTACACGGGGTTTTCTTTGTCCGGGCCACACCTGTCAGCATGATGTACAATGACACCAAATGCTATGACCGTTACACGGGGTTTTCTCTGTCTGGGGTAATGTCCGGGCCACGCCTGTCTACATGATGTACAATGATACCAAATGCTATGACCGTTACACGGGTTTTCTGTCCGTAATGTCCGGGCCACACCTGTCAACATGATGTACAATGATACCAATGCTATGACCGTTACACGGGTTTTCTCTGTCCGGGCCACACCTGTTCACATGATGTACAATGACACCAATGCTATGACCGTTACATCGGGTTATCTTTGTCCGCCACACCTGTTGCCTACATGATGTACAATGATACCAATGCTATGACCGTTACACGGGTTATCTTTGTCCGGGCCACACCTGTCAGCATGATACAATGATACCAATGCTATGACCGTTACATCGGGTTATCTTTGTCCGGGCCACACCTGTCTACATGATGTACAATGATACCAAATGCTATGACCGTTACACGGGGTTATCTTTGTCCGGGCCACACCTGTCTACATGATGTACAATGATACCAAATGCTATGACTGTTACACGGGGTTATCTCTTTGTCCGGCCACACCTGTCAGCATGATGTACAATGATACCAATGCTATGACCGTTACACGGGGTTATCTTTGTCCGGGCCACACCTGTCTGCATGATGTACAAATGATACCAATGCTATGACCGTTACACGGGGTTTTCTTTGTCCGCCACACCTGTCATACATGATGTACAATGACACCAAATGCCATGACCGTTCTAGGGTTTTCTGTCCGTAATGTCCGGGCCACACCTGTCTACATGATGTACAATGACACCAATGCTATGACCGTTACATCGGGTTTTCTTTGTCCGGCCACACACCTGTCAGCATGATGTACAATGATAAATAAATGCTATGACCGTTACACGGGGTTTTCTTTGTCCGGGCCACACCTGTCTGCTATTGATGTACAATGATACCAATGCTATGACCGTTACACGGGTTTTCTTTGTCCGGGCCACACTCTGTCAACATGATGTACAATGACACCAATGCTATGACCGTTACACGGGGTTATCTTTGTCCGGGCCACACCTGTCTACATGATGTACAATGATACCAAATGCTATGACCGTTACACGGGGTTATCTTTGTCCGGGCCACACCTGTCAGCATGATGTACAATGATACCAAATGCTATGACCGTTACACGGGGTTATCTTTGTCCGGGCCACACCTGTCTACATGATGTACAATGATACCAAATGCTATGACCGTTACACGGGGTTTTCTTTGTCCGGGCCACACCTGTCTACATGATGTACAATGACACCAAATGCTATGACCGTTACACGGGGTTTTCTCTGTCCGGGGTAATGTCCGGGCCACACCTGTCTACATGATGTACAATGACACCAAATGCTATGACCGTTACACGGGGTTTTCTTTGTCCGGGCCACACCTGTCTACATGATGTACAATGATACCAAATGCTATGACCGTTACACGGGGTTTTCTTTGTCCGGGCCACACCTGTCTACATGATGTACAATGATACCAAATGCTATGACCGTTACACGGGGTTTTCTTTGTCCGGGCCACACCTGTCTACATGATGTACAATGATACCAAATGCTATGACCGTTACACGGGGTTTTCTTTGTCCGGGCCACACCTGTCAACATGATGTACAATGATACCAAATGCTATGACCGTTACACGGGGTTTTCTTTGTCCGGGCCACACCTGTCAACATGATGTACAATGACACCAAATGCTATGACCGTTACACGGGGTTTTCTTTATTCTTTATTTACCACTTTAGACAGACAGAAAGACAGACAGACACAAGCAGACGGACAGACACACACAGGCAGACAGACAGACAGATATATGGGTCGAGAGACATCATCATTGGAGATGACACCGTTTACATAGCGTTTCACCAGATGAACCCAAATGGAGATGGTGATTTACGTGTATGGCGTAACAGTGGAGGACCCTATCACGATGACTGTTCTACAGACGGGCAACTGCGGTGTTTTAAGCATGGACTGGGGTCACAGGGACAACATTCTGAGTCATCACGTTGGCCTACTCTTCCGTCAGCATCAAGATTAGACTAATGCTTAGTCTCTGAATATAAATAATTTTGATAGTAACAAACAAGCCCATTTAAATTGAAAAGGAGCCCAAGGGAGACCAGAGATTCAGAACCTGAGGAAATCTAGACTTGCTTTATTTAGGGCTTTAGCACTGCAGAGAGGGCTTGGCAGTGGGGAAAATAATGTGGTTCAGGGACTGTGAGACAGACTACATCAAGATAGGCACACGTTTCAGCAGGATAAAGCGCTTTTAGCAATATTCCAGCAATATCACAGCTGGGGACACCAGAAATGGGCTTCACACATTGCACCCATGTGGGGAATCGAACCCGGGTCTTTAGCGTGTCGAGCGGACGCTTTAACCGTTAGGCTACCCCACCGCCCCAAATGAATCCCTGAGGGAACGCTGTAGGCATATACCCCGGGCTGTTTAAATCGGATAACTGTCTCTTCAAATACAGGGGTGGGTCCACAACACTTTATTCCTGATTCGTTTTGAAAACTACATGCTATTATAGCAATGGCTAGGCGTCATTTGGGAGGCGATCGTCAGCCAAAGTGCCCACGATACTTGCGTTGCTTCACAGGGTGGCCACCCAGGTTATTGACTTTAGACCCGCCGGGTCCTTCACTGACTTTAACCTGAATGTGGGTCTTTGCATATGTATTTTGTTCTGTTGTGTATAGACTACATTCATATCTTCTCTCAATCACATCAGATGTATTATGAACATTTTCCACGAGTGTTCAATTTGTTCTTTCATCTGATAATGTTTAAATGATAACCATTCATTTATAAACCCAATATGTGGTAGCAGGGGACACAGAATGGGGCCCCTTATTAGAGGTGATCAGACTACCATTTGCGTAGATGTGAGTGAGTAAGTTTAGTTTTACAACGCTTTTAGCAATATTTCCAGCAATATCACAGCGGGAGACACCAAAAATGGATTTCACACATTGTAAACATGTGGGAAATCGAACCCGTTCTTCATCGTGACGAGCGAACACTTTAACCACTAGGCTACTCCACCGCCCCTGCGTAGATGTATGCGAGGCGGCGGTGACGTATTGATTACCCCAGATGACTGAAAACTGCCCGCGGGATGTTGTTCCAAAGGTCAACCAAACCCTGCCCTAACTGAGCTAAAGTCAAGGTCTGTCTCTGGTCCTGTTGTAAGCGTACACCCAACTTATCCTATGTAGGAGAGGGTCTGAAGAGAAGTCCGGTCAGTAATGCTATGCTTCCTCTAAAAGTTTGTTTCAACGCCTGGATAATATCTTATCCCTACATTTGAACATCAACTCGAACGGTGCCCCGTTAACGTTTGACAGTCAAATAGCCATCATCAATGACGAATTGCGTCCTGCAGTCCACAGTCCGCAAAACTGTTCCACTTCCAAACCAATTCGATAGGCGTTAGTAACGCAGGCATCGATAAAACGTCAACATGAAGACGTGTTTGACCTTACACGACCCTCAAATCTGTCCCGCTGACACATGGAATCACCTGAGAGCAGTATACAGTCTGAGATTTACCTTATGAGCCTCAGATGTTTTGTACACCAAGAAACACTGGGCGTGTCGATGGATGTCTTGGCCAAATGATGTGCTCCTTCAGCCAGTGTACAGGTTCTGTCTGTACTTGGATTCAAGCCAACAGTTGATCGTGGTGTTCATGTGGCTGTTTCACGTGACGCCATACGTGGACAATCGGGAAGGTCCCGAGTGTTTTTTTCTGTTGTAGATAACGTCTCGGAAGAGATGACATCATTTTTCGACGGACATTTATTGTCTGGTAACTTCGTTCTAGTCATTCCTGTCTACAACATACCCCGGAGGCAAGCAGTATTTACGGTAAAAGGAAATCTGCTCATGAGCAACCGCTGTACACATTCAAACAACACGTGTGATTATCAGTGGCATGGCTGTCGTAGAATCAGTACCACCGAGTCTAGAGGAACTTAACTGTGATTTTCCGTGTTTCAGTAGGTTTTCACACCATGTCCTCAACCATCTTTTTCCTGCTCCTCGCGGGTCTTGCGATGTCTGTCATGGCGGACTACACCGGGAAGGTGCTGCTCATCTCCATGGACGGCTTCCGGTACGACTATCTGGACATGGTGGACACCCCCAACTTTGACGACTTCGCCAGACAAGGCGTGAAGCTACCCTACATGAACAACAGCTTCACGACGTTGACATTTCCAAACCATTACACCATAGTGACAGGTGAGTTAAGATAAAGTTAAAGCAAGTTAAAAAGGTCAATGGCAGATGCTATCAGAAACGTGCGAATTTTCGCCAAAAAACATTTATTTTAGGTCAGGAAATATCAGTACAATGTTTTCCCTGGGCCATATACTTAACTCCATTTGATTTTGTGGTCCGCTCATTAGAAATCGTCAAAGACAAATTTCATTGAGGTTAAATTATATACTAAGCAGAAAAAGAAACGTCAGTTTGGAATTTTCCTTCGCAGAAACGGATAACTGTAAACTCATTTCATGTTTTGATTGTATATTTTTGACAACATCTCCAACTTTACCTTAGCAAAGACATTCCTTCCCAAACTCAGAATGGAACCCAGGAAATGGTCTCAAAAACGCAACCTGATCTCGAGATGGTACGGTGTTCTCCATGTTTTTCATTCAAATCATGCTGCACCTGCTGTTCACAAGGACCAGCCCTATAAAATGCACCCCCAAACCTGGTTGAAACATTCACATTACAACGTCAGCAGGATGCCGCGACTCACGACAGCTCAGAGCAACCAGGCGCTAGAAAGACTTGAAGCTGACCACACTGCACAAGCCGTTGCCAATCACTTCCAGGTCAACGTTTGGACCATTTACAGACTGCAGCAACGTTTCTGGCGCATCAACACCACAAATGATCGCCCCCGTACTGGCAGACCAAGGGTCACCACAAGTCAACAAGACCGCCATGTTGTGCGACAGCATGTACAGAATCCCTTCATGCAGGCATCCGAAACAGCACGCCAGACAGTGGGAACACAAGGAAGACCAATCAGTACTCATACAGTACGCCGACGTCTTAACAACGGGAACCTCCATTGCCGTAGACCTTACCGTGGACCTATCCTCACCCCTCGTGAACGTGAACGTCTACAGTTTGCCCTACAACATCCAAAACTAGCGATACAGGCAATGGATAACTGTTCTGTTCACAGATGAGAGTCGATACTGTGTATCAACTGCAGAGTGGGTCATGTGGTGTTCCAGAACCTTGGTCCAGGGTGAGGAGGCGGCATCACAGCGGTGCGCTACATCGACCAAGTTCTCAGACCCCACCTCATACCACATTTCGCACGTCACCGGAACAACATTTTCCAGCATGATAATGCCCGGGCCCATACTGCCAGAGCTACAAGGGACTTCCTACAGCAGAACGGTGTCAACATTATGCAGTGGCCAGCCCTTAGTCCTGATTTAAACCCAACTGAACATCTTTGGGATGAAATTCAGAGGAGACTGAATAATGTCATACCAAGGCCGAACACAGCCGATTTTGTGCGCCAGGCCTTTCTCAGAGTGTGGTTCCAGGTGCCAATGGCTTCCATCAATCGATTGGTGCACTCCATGCATAGACGCTGTGCTGCAGTTCTTGCCGCTCGTGGTGGTCACACTAGATACTGAAGTCAAGGGTCTGAATGGACTGCAAACGTTCACGTTATGTCTTGAAATTGTGCTGAGTTATTCATTGATGTGTCAAGATATTGTACACAAAAAATGGTTTTGATCCGCTTATTATGTCCATTTCTGTAATGATTTGATTAGAGTGCCTATCTAATTTTGAATTCGTACTGACGTTGTTTTTTGGCTGCTGAGTATATGAATGCATGATTTAAGACATGTCTGATAATTTCAATATTTCATCTAACCCTTAAAATTTCAGCAGGCAATATCAGATCGCGTGTATGTCTTGAAAGTCTACGTCTTCAAATGTCAAGACAAGCTAGTTTTTAGTGCTGTCGTCTTTCAATCAGTTCGGAAAAATGTACCTGTGAAGGTCCGGGTCAGAATATTAGCCTTCAGTAACCCGTGCTTGTCGTAAGAGGCGACTAACGGGATCAGGTGGTCAGGCTCGTTGACTTGGTTGACTCATGTCATCGGTTCCCAATTGCGCAGATCGATGCTCATGCTGTTGATCACTGGATTGTCTGGTCCAGACTCGATTATTTACAGACCGCTGCCATATAGCTGGAATATTGCTGAGTGCGGCGTATAACTAAACTCACTCACTCACTCGGAAAACTGTTCTGCACGCACAACCAGTATGATTCTTTTACCCCAGTTTGATTAACTCCTTCGCTGCACGTGAACATAGCTTTTGGGATATTATGTGAAGCACGTGCTTTACATGTGCAATCCAGTATGTATGGGCATGATCGCATGTTAGGACCAAAACTTTTGAAATTGACCTTGGATTCTGGTGGCGCTAAATTACTGTTCACATGTACAGGCCTCCTTAATGTTCGTATGGAATCTTACGCTCAGACAAAACGTACGTTATCTGTTTCCGATGCAGGTCTGTGGGAGGAGAGTCATGGTATTATTGGCAACCATTATGTACGACCCCACGTTCAAAGCCAGCTTCGGCATGGGCACCACGGAGTCACGGTGGTGGGACGAGGGAGAGCCACTGTGGGTCACGGCCAAGAAGAAGGTATACTAAAAGTTGAGAAATGCAATACCTGCCATACTAAACGCCTCCCTCGTTGTCATCTGGCATGAGTACGGCGTTAAACAACAAGCTTTTACATAACTTTACAGTTGAAACTTCATCGGAAATAGTTTGCGTAAGAGTTGTAGTTGCATGTGTAGGAGGATAGATCGAGGTGAGGCTGGTCTCTCAGGAAATTGGTTCAAACTGTGGCGAGAAGAAGGAACAGAGACACCTTCACAACTGATATGAAGTTACAAAAGAAAAGGCGGTGAGGGTTCCCAGTGGTGCAAGCTTACGTTCGCCACGCTGAAGGCCCGGGTCCGATTCCTCAGAGGGATACAAATTGGTGAACCAAGTTGATCACTTCGGCTTTAAGTCCTTCATGAAGCTGAAACTGCCAAAATCACTTTGAGATATCCCAGTGGCGAAAGCATTCGCTCGTCACGCCGAAGGCCCGGGTTTAAGTCCTCATGGGGTACAATTTGTGAAGCTCATTTCATTGACCCTGTCATTGTTCATTGCTGACATATTGACATATTGCTCGTCACGCTGAAGGCCCGGGTTCAAGTCCTCATGGGGTACACTTTGTGAAGCTCATTTCATTGTCCCTGTCATTGTTCATTGCTGACATATTGACATATTGCTCGTCACGTCGAATGCCCGGGTTCAAGTCCTCATAGGGTACAATTTGTGAAGCTCATTCAATTGCCCCTGTCATTGTTCATTGCTGACATATTGCTCACATACACGTGACACCACACTTACTCAATGTTTGTATGTTCAACTTCCAGGGTCTGAAGACTGGCACCTACTACTGGCCAGGCAGCGAGGTTGAGATCCAAGGTTTTCGCCCTGACTTTTGGTTCAAATACAGTGACAAGACACCGTACAAGGAGCGAGTGGATACAGTCATTGACTGGTTCAAGAACAAAGATGTCAGAATGGCCACCCTGTATTACCCGGAACCCGACCATACTGGGCACGGTTATGGTCCAGACTCTCAGCAAGTTAAGGACAAGGTCAAATACATGGATGGTATCCTTGGTTACCTCATGGAAAAGTTGAAGGATAATGACCTTGAAAACACGGTCAATGTCATCGTTACCAGTGACCATGGCATGGTTGATGTTGACAATATCAATAAAGTAAGTTCACGTGTCTTTAAGCATGGCTAACTGAGGGTATCGGGGTGTAGTTTAAGAATGACTTATTTCACCAATTTGAGCATTTATTGTGTCACCTTACATGTAAGGTTTTCACTTATATATTTCCATGTACAGCCGAACCCCAATGTTTCGAACTCGGTTGAGACGAATTCCCGGTTGTGTCGAACTCATTATTTTACCCTGATGTCTCGAACTAGATGTGTCGAATTCCCGCTTGTGGCGAATTCATTTTAGGTCCTCAAAAGCCCCTAATAGTACAAATTTACTCTTTGTATCGAACTGTTACAAAAGTAAAAAGCTATGCTCATAAACGTGCTACCAAAAGATCAAAAGTGAGGATTAACGTGTTTTCTTGTTGGCAAAAGGCATTGCACCTTGAGATATTCGTAGTATTCATTCCTGGGTTAAATGTAAGAAGCGTGTCTTGGTGTTACAGTTGGGGTCGAATCCCAAATCCGCTCTTCTTTGTCAGCACCATGTCGTTGCGTTTTGGGTTATACCAAATTGGTGAAGGAAGTTGGTCACTTCGGCTTTCATTCATAAACCTGAAACTGATAAGTGATATTACTAAAACTCTTTAAAAACGTGTATATAATTGTCCAAAATACAGTATACCCTGGACTCTTTAACGCCACCGTTTGTCCAGGAGAAATTATGGCACTTCATCCAGGGTGACATTATACCCAGGTAGGACAGTTAGAGGGCCCTCTGCAATCAGCAAGGTGGATTGAGCTGATGTCTCCTGTAATGAGCCTTGAATGACTGGATATTCACAGCGTCTAGGGGCTGCAGGGGACTTTTGTTGTAGGTCACATGTAGATCGTCACATGTGTATCTAAGACTACTTAAAGCATTAATGAGTCAATTTGTCAATCAAAAATTACTAACATAATTTGTGGTTTACTGAGAAAACGATATGTGAAGTGCTTGATTTGTTTATGAATAACCATCTATCTTATCCTTTAGGGTTGGACATTGGAGTAAGAAGGGAAACACTTATAAGAATTTTATCATCAAAAGACGAATCTGTCCATGTAAAATTAGCCCTGTTTTTAACACATTCGCTGTCTTTAAGGAAGAGTCTAATTTCTCCTGTCAACTAACCTAACAATGTTATGATGCTTTCCTCTGTTTGCAATGTCAATACCTTGCCTGTCATTACAATACTATGTATACGGGCCAGAGGCCTTATGTACAATAAACCATCTTGATCTTGATCTTGAGTAAGAAGTAGGCATCCAAACTGTCACCAAATGTGCTCGATTCGTTGTTGATCTGTTTCTCAATACATACAAGTTAGAATATTTACTAGGATTAGCTAACTGAAACACGTGAATTCGGCCATTATGAAAGTGCTGTCTTTTTTCAGGTGGTGGACATAACTGACCATGTCAACATGACGCTGATTGACAGTGTGCCGATGTACGGTCCGGTGATGCACATTCTACCGAAAGACGGACAGGATGACAACATCATGGCGGATCTGGAGGGCGTCTCCAACATCACAGCCTATAAGAAGGACGACATTCCTGAGCATTTCCATTACCGGAACAACAGAAGGATCATGCCCATCGTCATCATAGCAGATGAGGGATGGCAGCTGACCACTGTAAGTTTGGGATGACCAGAGTCATGCGCATTATATAAGGGGCCGTAACCGTGATGTGCTGTGGGTGACAATTTGGGGTCAAGGTCATGATAAGTATGGTTAAGAAACATGGTTAGTGCATAGCTCACACAGAGCGCTCTTTCTCTCCTCTCTCTCTCCCCCTCCCTCTTTCTCTCTGTGTCTCTCCCCCTTCCTCTCTTTCTGTCTCCCCTCTCTGCCCCCCCTCTCTCTCTCTCTCTTCTCTCTCTCTCTCTCTCTCTCTCTCTCTCTCTCTCTCTCTCTCTCTCTCTGCATATAAAGGCAGCACACTACTCAAGAAGAATAACGATTCCCACTGTACACTGGATGTCTTTGCAGAAAAAGGACAAAGTGGCACGCAGCACTTTAAAAGCCACCCATGGCTACGACAACAGACTGATGTCAATGAAGCCTATATTCCTGGCGAGGGGACCCAACTTCAAAACCAACTTCAGATCCGATCCGATCAAGAATGTCGACATCTACCCTCTTGTTTGTAAACTGCTCAAAATAGAGCCAGCGCCGAACAACGGAAGTCTGGCCCGTGTCAATGCCTTCATCCAAGATACTCCTCCAGTTTCCGGGTCTCCAATCAATGCACCAGTGCTGCTTTTTGAGTGTTTGCTTGTATTCACAGTCGTCGCCAACCATATATTGCATTAATGAAACGATCAAAACTGCAGGCGATGCGCATTCTAAATCGCTGGTCTTATAGTGAACCCTGTTTACCAACGCGATCAAATCCCAGCTAACAATTTCACGTTGTCACAACGTTATGCTTTCGTTGTTATTCTGTGGACTCCCATTTGCGTTGTCACAACGTTATGACGTGACCTTGTGATGCGTCATTTTTACGTCACCAGAAGGTTAGAATTATTTGATGCTAACGTATTTTACGTCGTCTTAACGTTCTATTTATCGTTATTGTTTGAATAGTTTTCCCAGTAGTGAACATAAGAAACAAAGCAGATATTTACTTCAATGCTTATTCGTCAATTTGCATGTTGTTTTGGTCGTATGTTTTCCGAAAGCTGAAGCTGAAAAGTGAAGAAAGAATCTCAAAGTGAAAAGTTTCTCAGAAAACTCTAACTTGACACCATTTTGTAAGAAACGTTGTTACAACGTTGTGAGGAGCCCAAAGCATAACGTTTCCTCAACGTAAATTTGCAACGTTGTTAAATACGTTGTAACATACCGTTATAAAATGACGTTGTGACAACGTTGTATTATGACGTTACCACTATACAACCTTCCCACAGATTTGCGAAAACTTTGTGTTAGCCTGGATAATCTTACTAATCACACCAACATTAACGCTTCTGAAACTATCAAATAAACCATGAAAATCCTGTTCAGAATGTATATGCAGCAACTAATACTTGTCGTAAGAGGGCACTGACGTGATCGGTGGTGGTCAATCCTGATGAGTGCGACGTTAAACAATTAACAGCAACATAGATACACGAAACTGTTATCAAACCCTATGTCCAAAAGCTCCGAGATTCCGGGAAAGGAATGGTGAGAGAGTACATAGTCACGAGAACGTTTTCAATGGACATATATCTTGTGCCAGACAGTTTCTGTTTGGTTCATTTCCGGAGCATGACATACATTCTCAATATTTCACGGCGCACGTAGGTCTACTTAAGGACCTTTCGACGGTCACCATGGTTGCAACATATCAGGGATCAAAATGAGAATTGTTTGCAAAGTGACATATTCAAGAAAGCGAAGTTCACGAACATTCACCAACACTTGGTATGTAAACACTTGTGCGTTTGTAATGTAATACTTCCTTTGTAAACGTCGTAAAGAGAAAGGTCAAGGTCACCACAGGAATAATCCTAAATGATTCTATGCCTGTCAAACTCGAGGAAAGTCCCGTATCTAAATCAATTTGTGTAAAGTCACCAAAGCTGTGCCGTACTTTCATATGATGAAATGATACGGAAAATCAACCCGGAAACATTAGACGACATTCAGTTGTCATCCCTTAAAGAAAAGCTTGTCCTGCATGTTGCGACCCGTGAACATCCGGGTTAAAATTGGTCTTCAGTAACTCATGCTTGTCGTAAGAGGCGACTAACGGGATCGGGTGATCAGGCTTTCTGACTTGGTTGACACATGTCATCGTATCTCAGTTGTGTCGAATGATGCTCATGCTGATCACTGGATTGTCTGGTCCAGACTGAATTATTTACAGACCGCCGCCATATAGCTGGAATATTGCTGAGTGCAACAAGCCAGCAACCAACCAACCAACCAACCAACCAACCAACCAACCTACATATTGCCCTAAACAAGGTTCCATCACTCTCCATGTGTGAAACTGAGTGTATATTGGGTGTACATATTGAGATTTATTTAGATGTACTATTCATGCATGCAGTGAGTGAGGATAGCTTCACGCCATTTTTATCAATACAAGCGAGTCCGGTAATTCTGCGCAGCTGCAATAGCGTACTTCCGTATCGAAGGTAAACATCGTCTACTACCACATTTACACTTGAAATCGGGACATTTCTACAAGGGACTGGCTTTTAATCATAAAGGTAAGTAAATAACAGTAATTGACAGATAAATTGACAGTTTTATGAAAATTCGTTTTCTTCAGACTTTTCAACCTTTTTCTTCATTTTTCATAACTGGATTTAATATGAAACACTCCTCCTTACATTGATGAAGTGATTTTTGACAATAATCTGGCCCTTATACGCTTCCATACTTCGGATCTCCAGCTGGATGTTTTGCGCTTGAGTTGCTGCGCAGAATATACGGACAGCAAGCGATGTCGTCAGAACGCGGGTAAGGTCAACCGTATGGCATAATGCAACGTTAGAATCTTATAGTCGTCTAAAACTTGTATTTCTAGGTCAATATGATGCATACCAGCATGTTTAGTCACGTAAACCACAAAAAATAAGAGACGTTAGTTGCCGTGTTGCGATCGATGTGCTTAGGTGCGCGGAATTACCGGACGACATTATATTCTAGTGATATCACTTCGGAGCACACTGAAATGGGATTCAAACAACACACACGCATGTGAGGTCGACGAGCGGACGTTCGAGTGACTTTGTACGTCGCTCCTAGCAGTTTTCCGTTAATACCACAGTACAGGACACAAGAAATAGGCTTCACACATTGTACCCGATGGAACCCGAACCTTCGGAATGACGAGCGAACACTTTAACCACTGAGCTACCCCACCGATTCTGCGCACGTTTAGCAACTAGTCTATCCCATCGCCGCTCCATACAAGCACGCATGGCAAGGATGTAGATACCTTCACCAGGACTGTTGCAGTTCTCATCGAAATTTATGTTTTTAATGGTTTCTATTGTTACAATCTTCCATGTACATTCTACTTAAAAGAAGTAAAACAACCGATTTTCGTCATGTAACTAATGTTGATCCGTCATACCATGAGCACATAAAATCGGGAATTCCTAAACTTCTTTTGGACAGTAAGCGTGAGTGTGAAAGTACGGTTTTACGCCGCTTTTAGCAATATTCCAGCAATATCACGGCGGAGGACACCAGAAAATGGGCTTCACAAATTGATCCCATGTGGGAATTGAACCCGGGTCTTCGGCGTGACGAGCGAACGCTTTAACCACTAGGCTACCCCACCGCCCCACAGTAAGTGTGAGCTTTTCGTTTCTCTTGTATACACGCCCCGCGCTGTACAATGTTTGGGACGCAGTTATGTGACTGTTGAGTACATGTATGACATCAGCGAATACACCTAATGCACCGATGGTATCAAGATTACACTCACACACCCCTTATCAACGTTCCCTTCTTGACCCCATAACACAACTTGATAGCACAACTTGATAACACACCTAACGATACTTTCAACACAGTAATTCATTTTTTAATTCAAGTTTGTTTGTTTTTTCTGTCGTCGCGAAACGGTATCCAGACGAAGATACGCACGTGCACCTTGATATGGGGCCTGTGGGCTAGTCCAGAGATTAGATATTGGGTCGATTACCCACTTGGGTGCAACATGTGGTGTCTGATCACCGTGCTATTGCTGGAAACTAAAACTAACCTTAACATGATGACGCAGCCATAGGACCATCAATACAGAAACCTCTCTTCGTCTATCTTTTGCTAGCGAACGAGTTTGGTTTTACGCCGCTTTTAGCAATATTCCAGCAATATCACGGCGGGGGACACCAGAAATGGGCTTCACACATTGTACCCATGTGGGGAATCGAACCCGGGTCTTCGGCGTGACGAGCCAACGCTTTACCCACTTGGCTACCCCACCGCCCCCTATCTTTTGCTAACACCTGTTGACGTCGCTGATTTTCAGTGATCGTTTCAAATTATTTCCATCACATTCTTGCAATTTACGCCCAGAGATTCTGCTTTTACAGATAGAGAGGTGATAGTTTCTCCATGGCGTTGACATTTAAGTACTAAGTTCTAAGTACTGCTTAGTACTATTATTGACTACCACCCAAGTATTGCTTAGTACTATTATTGACTACCACCCAAGTACTGCTAAGTACTAATATTTACTACCACCCAAGTACTGCTCAGTACTATTATTGACTACCACCCAAGTACTGCTAAGTACTATTATTGACTACAGCCCAAGTACTGCTTAGTACTATTATTGACTACAGCCCAAGTACTGCTAAGTACTATTATTGACTACCACCCAAGTACTGCTCGTTAAGGAAGGACCAGGACAAGGCATGCTGACCTAACCAATGCTGCTTCCGACGGTGGACATCCAGTGTCATTGTTTGCTGGACATTCATGTGATATGTGGTTATCAGGGTTCCTGAATTGTTCTATGGGCACTGCACAAAATCCGCAATCGCCAGTAAGTGTGTGTGAAGCAGACCTTGAAACACCACATCTCAAGTTGGGCACTGTGATAGCAGCTCGTCAATAGGAAGAGAGCTTGTGTTGGGGTTTACAATATACTCAAGAAAATAAGAGAAATATGTCATGATTTTAAATTATTTTAAAAGATCTTCAGTTTCTGTTAATAATGAACGACTAGCGAAGTATTAGCCAGCTCACACTAGAGCACGGTCGCTGTACGAATACATAATTTAGGCATTGTGCAGGCATCGGGTTGTGATTGTGTTATGATCCTACATTGATTGTGATGATTGTGTTCTTAGCCCACCACGATTGTTCAATTTTAAAACCCCTTTTTAATTTTTTTTAAATCGTGATGTGATCGTGTCGATCGTGAAGTCATTGTATAGGCATAGAGTAGTGTTCGTGTTTTGATCGTGTTGATCGTGTAGTCATTGTATAGGCATAGAGTAGTGTTCGTGTAGTGATCGTGTAGTCATTGTATAGGCATAGAGTAGTGTTCGTGTAGTGATCGTGTAGTCATTGTATAGACATAGAGTAGTGTTTGTGTATTGATCGTGTAGTCATTGTATAGGCATAGAGTAGTGTTCGTGTTTTGATCGTGTTGATCGTGTAGTCATTGTATAGGCATCGTGTAGTCTAAGTCAAACATGTTTATTGTACAAAAGGCCTCCGGCCCATATACATTGGAGTTAAACATATACATTATACATATGGTGCAATAAGTAGTAATTAGTTATCTAAACAGCAAATCATGATACAGGCAGTAAATTATGTACAAGTAGTGAAATACGATGGGTCTACAAAACTTTTTATCAGATTGTTACGTTGAATAAGAGCATAATTGATAAAGAACGACAGCTTTATTATCACATGCTGGTCAGTTGATGAAAGAAGTAGTTTAAAAGCTAATGAAGGTGGCTTACATAGATAATATTCAGCTATATATTTCGTACGCAAATCTTTATAAAAAGGACATACAAGTTAAAAATGGATTTCATTTTCCACATCTATATTACACAGTGGGCACATTCTCTTGCATCGTTAAATATAAAAACGTCTTCCTTCGTTTACCATTATGTTGATCAAACCTAACCTAAAGCGCGTAAATGGATATCTTAATTTCTTTGGTGTTAAAAACGACAGATATTTCTCCAGCTGGAGTAGTGATTTGTATATTCTATAAGAGTCATATCGTGAACTATTATAAAATTATAGACTGGTGATGAGGTCAATACCTGTTTTTATGGACCGAGAACGAAGTCCGAGGTCAATATTACTTTTCGCGGATCCAT